GTGACTTCAGTTGTTAATATGCTTGCTTTAAGATAACAAAAATATTTATTTTCTGAGAGAGCAATCTCAACAACTTCAAACCTTTGAACTAGATTTCTAAAAATAAAATTCCTTGAATTTCTCAAAAAAATGAATATTACCAATTCTACTATGGCTTATTTTATTCTTTGAATGTTTATGCAGGGTCCGACTGACTCAAACTTATTCAACTTCTGGAGTTTGGTTTGTTTGCTTAACTACTCTAGGAACTAGAAATGGCTCTTAAGTCAGCACGGAGAGAAGCAGACGGGACAGCAGAGGTGGCGCCTGCCACCTGATGTTGAAGGAAACAAAGACACAGAATCTTGTCATCTGCATCTGCAAACATGAGAGCAGATAGAGAAGATGTTCAATTACACTGAGTAGGTAGAGGTGTAATATGTTTTAGAAAGATTTCCATAAAAAATGATTGAGATATATAAAAATTTCTAATGCTTTGGGACTCTGGGAGTCACAGAGTTCTGTTTTATATACCAGCCTTGGCATTTACTTGTTGGAAGGACTTAACCTCTCTATGTACCCAGTGACTTTCAGTAAAATAGGGATTATAAAAGTACCTACTGCCCAGAGATGAAGGGAGATGCTCCACTTAAGACATTAGGAGCAAGCACTCAGCACATGGTAGCGGCTAGCATTAGTAATAGCAGTGGGGGCAGCGACAGTAGTAGTAATGGAACTGGCCTGTGGGGAGGAGGTCACAAGTTGGTATGTGGAGAGAGCAGATCCCTGGCAGCTGGATCCTCCACAGCCCTTTACCGTCTGGGTGGCTGTGGGGTAAGGACCACCGAGGTTCTGCAGCTGCTATGAGGCTTCAGCGGGTGTGGAGGGAGCTTAGTGCCACCCACACAGGACACGCTCAATCAACATTAGCAGTTACAAATATTCCACATACTGAATGCCCTGGTGTTCTTAAAGCACATTCTGGTTTTTTTTGAAGTGTAGCATCAAGCTCACTAGTTCCTCATAAGAAGTCAAGGGAACCAGAGGAAGGATCTAATTGCACTGATTAGTTTGTCAAGGAGCAATGTGTCTGGATTCAGGACTACCTGCAATCAGGGTTGCAACAGAGCCCTTTCAAGTCACAGCTCTGCTGATACAAAAGACAAAAAAGGTTGGTTCTTTTTCCTTGAAAAGGGGTGGCTAAGCTTCCTGTGAAATTTTTACTGATAAGAAGATCACTGAGAAAGGAAAGTTTAGAAGATCCTTTTAAAAATGGACCAAAGCACTTTTACATACATGAACTCTTCTGTCCTTGAATGAACCCTAAGTAAAAGGAGGCATGGTCCTCATTTGTCAGAGGAGGAAAGTGAGATGCAGAGAATTTAATTAGTTACTTTCCTACTAAGAGGAGAGTCCAGCCAGCACATACCCATTTCATGTTCAGAGGTTCGATTACCAGTGCACGGCCCTGGCAAGTGCTCACACACGCTTGCCATGTTGAGGCAATTTCATTTTTTTCTGACCCCTTTTATTACATTAGCTGTGATCAGCTTAACACCAGACCCCATAGCCTTCCCCACCTACCACACCATATGTCGGGCGTGAGTGTGCACACATGCACATGTACACACACATAATCATGTGCTGGGACAGCTGAATTTATTTTTAACCTCGTCTTTTTTCAGAGTACTTTTAAATGATGAAAATATTTGAATGAGGTTGAAGACTGATGTGATTCAAATTCAGATTTTAAGGATGCTAAATCATTTGTTGGACTGAAAACTGAGAAGTGGTTCAGTCCTAGCAGAGGGCAAAGAAAGGTATTCTGCTTTAAGCAAATTATGTTTTGTTTTTTTTCCTAAAGAGATGATCTAATTTCTTTTATAAAGGAAGTGCAAAAGAACTTTGTTGCTGTCTCCAGCTGTCAAGCAGCTCCCATACTTTTGCCCTCCAGCAAAACGGAAGGGACATCAGGTGACAGACCCCAAATTTCAACTAGTCACACAAATTACAGACCTTCTTATCAAGATGTCCTTTTGACCTTCTGCCTTTTGCCTACAATGAAGAATGAGACACAGTTTAAATCAAAATGACTCTCATGGGCAATTTTACAAACAAATAGAAGCCTCAGAGTCCCTCTGCCGACTTCCCTGCCTCCCCCATGGGCCAGCCTGTTCCCTCTTTCCATGCAGGAAGGAGCTAATAATTGGAAAGAACTTTCCCAGCCCCAGACTATCACAGGCTGCTTGCCAAGCTCCTCTGCTTTTAGGAAGGAGTTTGGCAAAAATAAATATTTACAAAAACAACTATAATCAAATGCCAAGTCCCACTTCTAGGGAACACTAGAGAAGAATTATAAGAAAGGGTTTCTCTGTGTGGCACTGCTCTGGCCAGTAGTGAAGCCTGATCAAAAGTCTGAACTGGCTCTATCCAAAAGATGGGCATATTGTATATTTCTCTTAGCCTCCCCACCTGTTTTCAGTACTGACATTGAACCAAGGAGTGCTCTACTACTGAGCTACATTCCACTCCCCGCTGCCTTTTTTTTTTTTTTTTTTTGGAGACAGGGTCTCACTGAGTTGCCCAGGTTGGCCTCAAATTTGTGATGCTCTTGCCTCAGCCTCCTGAGTTACTGGGATTACAGGTGGGTGGCACTGTGCCTGGCTCTCTTAGCTTTCTAACTTTCATGCCCAGAACACTTTCAGCAAAGTATATGAATAATTACATTTACCATTGAAGTTTCAATTCAGAAATGTTGTACCAATCTGGGACCACAGGGAGAAGTCTTTAAATATTACTGCTTCTAGCAGTAGGAGAAAGCTTTGTGAAGTCAACAGCAGAAATTAAAGCCAGGGCTAATTAGCATTTAGAAAATATGTCATAATGTTTTTTTAAAAAGTTGTTTTCGAGAGAAACTTCTTACTGGCTAAAATTCAGTCACAATGTTTGTATTACCTGTAGATCTGTTCTCAGTGCAACTATGGGATCTGAACGCTTGAGCAGGGTGAGAATCAAAACAGGTGCTTGCGCCTGTTCCATTCTGCACATTAGCCCTTGGCCTTCTCACAGCCTGTTAAACAGCTGAATTTGAAACAATAATGGTGCAGGCCAAACACTTGCCTGAAGGCCTGTCTGTCTTGGGATTTGGCCATTTACATTGATTTTTTTACCCACATTTTTCATGTAACACAAATATTTGCCATGGCAACTAGGGTGTCACATGACATGCTGCTACATAAACAGCTTGGAAATCTCTGAAGGGGAAACAGCCACCACTGCTGAGAATACAGCGAAAACCTCCTGAGGAAGATGTGGTGTTAGGAGATGAAGGCCTGGGAGGAGCAGGTAAGCAGGCTACTCTGGAGACACGGCAGGATACATTTCCTCAGTGTTACTCTCCAGTGTCTCTTTCTTTTTTTATGAGAGCAGCTGAAAACAGGACCACATGGGGTCAGCCAGAAAAGACATTGCCAGCTGTCTCCTTCCTGTGGCAAAAAGTTTCAATGATCATAAGCCTGTCCATGGCCCATAAGTATAAGAAAGCCAACTACAAAAGTCCACCACCTTTGAACTGGGGACATCTATTCCTGAGGATGAATTTCACTGGACTGTGAGGTGCTGATGTTTAGGAATACAGAATTGCTGCTTCTTCCTCCTTAGAAGGTGTTCTGTGCACAACTGGAGGTCTTGCCTTTTTAGCCTATGCCTAAGGACAAAGCCATACACTAACAGCTCACAATGATATGCCCCAGACAACATCAACTTGGATGTAAAGCAACAGATAACGTATCCTGGACTCCTGGACCCCTGACCGGGTAGCAGCATACGCTGACTCAGCCCCTTCATCTCATAACAATGAATTTCTTAGATCCTAGTGATAGTGTCCTGGTGGAGTTGACTTATACAATCACCACTCCTTTCAAAATCAGGGACTGGAGATGTAACTCAGTGGTAAAGCACTTGCTTTGCATGGGGGAGGTCCTGGGTTCAATCCCTAGCACTATAAATAATAATAATAGTAATCATCATCATCATCATCATCATCAGAAATTAAATACATCCCAATGGCAACTGAAATAATACTTTCTGTGTGAAAGGAACCATTATATAGTATGTGGCTATCACCCGAATCCTCACAAACAATATTATAAATAAAAAGAATTTTGTTTTTGTAATTAGAAATAGGAATACCTTTAATTTTTGTTTCTTGTGAGACACCTCTACTTCTGCTGGAGCCGGCGGTGGTTTCTGAGGTTCAGAGAAGGGGGCTGTGGATGGAGGTGGAGCAATGTTAACTCTTCCAGAAAGAGATTGTGGCACTGGGTGGATGTTGTTGGGTTTGCACCTTGAAAGTCAAATGGCTCTGTGGCCCCCCATCTCCTCACTCTCTGTCTTTCCTATATGCAGTCAATGAAACATCTGTGACCACTGGCTTCAAACAGAAAGCCAAAAGCAGGGGGTGGGGGTGGAGAGCAATAGCACCAGTTCAGCCTGCCTTATGCAGGCTGCCGAGATGAAAGTTTAAAAGTAGACAAATCAGAGCAATGTTTGTCTTCTAAAATGTTTCACTGTAAGATTTCCTTAAACAACCAGATTGCCACATTCATGTGCAGGATAATTGATATAATTGCATATTGTGGACTACTATAAAAGATGATTCTAAAACATTTAAATGACTTGGAGGAGTGAGACAAGTAAATGGCACCATAAGGGTTATTTTAATTATTTATATTATTTTATTATAGTTAATAATTCTTGCATCTCAATAATCCCATAGTTAATAGTTCTGTCATCTCAATTGTACTCAACCCCCTTTTCTGTCAAAAGAATTGATAGATATCAATAAAAAGTAATGTGTTGGTAAAGGATGTCTATATATAATTTGGAAGTTCACTTTGAGAACTCAGTTCTCACATTACCTCAAGTGGACTACAAGAAATTTTTCTGCCATCTTTCAAAAATTTGCAGGAATTCCAGAGCATTGAAACTCACCTCCACACAAGGGATTTATTTGTTGCATCTGGCTCTCTCTGGTTTCCCTCTTCCAGGAAGCTCCCTGGGACTTGTGTTCCCATCTCCCCCCACCCCCTTCACCGCCCCACACCTGGTCTATGCGCCATGGCATCTGTAGACCCCACTTTAAGCCTAAGTGTTTTTGCCTTGACTTCTGCACCAGCCTGGTTCTGTTGTCCATTTTGGGCTTTATTCCCATGTGAAAATAAGATAGCAGCTGACAGGTTTGCAACTTTTAAAGGATTTTTGTCAGATTTTAATAGAATTTCATAGGATAAGGATCTTGAAGATTAATAATTCCATGTGTATAATCCACAGTTGATGGGATCTCTAAGAATTTTCTTAGTTACCTAAATAAATGCTATCACCAAATTATAATTTTGTGCAGGCTTGCATTTTATGGAACATTTGCATTTGGAGAATATGTCTGCATCTTTAATAAAATCTTAAGTCACTTCTTTTTGCTATTCAATTTACCTCCTGGAAAATGTTTATGATAAATATTGCCAGGGAGTGAGGGGGGGTAATGTCTTTTCTGGACAAACTCATGTGCCTCTGTAGTAGTCATCTTTCCTTCTTCTTTGCTAATTTTACAGCCCCAAATTTTTCAGGGTGACAATATATAATATGTGTCACCCTGAAAAATATAATATAATTATAATATAATTGTCAGATATAGCAAAAAAATAAAGAGCACAGTTAAATTTTAATTTCACATAAACAATAGAAGTCAAATTTAATATATCTAAATATTAAAAATACTTAAATATCTAACAAAGAAGATCAGAATTTTCATGATGTGTCAGACTAAGCCTAAGTATCTAGCATAAGTATGTTCCTAATCCTAATTCTAACTCAAACCCTCTCCCTGGAACATTCACTTTCCTAGCCTTCCTTAACAGTAGCCTTGTTATCAGTGAAATTTAAAAGAAAGCATACTCAAAGGCTTCTGGGAAGAGACGTATACCACTCTCTTCTTCCTTCCTGGAAAGTGTATGTAAGACCCAAATCTGCAGGAGCTATCTTATAGCCCTGAGATAGCTCATAGCAGTGTGGGCCATGGATCTATCCCAGTGTTGTGATGGTATAGGCAAGCTGTGGGCTCAGGGTGTGACACAGCTTGGTGACATTAGTGCTACAAAGTGTGACATAGGAGCTTGGGGCTGGTATATCCAGTTCATACAGGGCTGGGCAAAATCCTGTAGTACCTGACTACATACCACTAACTGTGAATGTGGCATATGGATCTACCCTGTCCCAAGTGAAAGACTTGTTGGAACAGACTATTCTTTCTAGGTACTGTTCTGTTTCTTTCTGAACAATACCCTAATAGTATATCTGGGACAAATGTGGGCTTGGATTGTCCTCTAATATTGAAACAGTGACAACACACCACCAGCAGACTCCCAGTAAATATGGACCTAGGTGCCTCCAGTGCTGAAATAGTAAAAGTGACTACAGGCTCAGAGAAAATAAGCAGCTTGCTTAGAATTTCTGGAAGTATAAACACAAAGCCAGATTAGGAAGACTAGAATAAATATCCAATTCTTCATTGCCAGATTATGTCACACACCGACAAGCATCAGGAGCTTCTAGGAAATCATGACTTCACCTAATATTTAAAATAAGGTGCCAATTTGCAGATAAATGGATGAAGTTAGAGAATATCATGCTAAGTGAAGTAAGCCAATCCCCCCAAAACAAAGGCTGAATGTTCTCTCTGATAAGTGGATGCTGATCTATAATATGGGGGGTTGGGCATGGGAAAAATGGAGGAACTTTGACTGGGAAAAGGGGAGGGAGGAAAGGGAAGGGGACATGGGGGCAGGAAAGATGGTGGAATGAGATGGATATCATTACCCTAGGTACATGTATGACTGCATATATGATGCAACGCTACATTGTGTACAACCAGAGAAATGAAAAGTTGTGCTGCAATTGTTTACAATGAATCAAAATGCATTCTGCTATCATATATTCCCAATTAGAATAAATAAATAAGTTTTTAAAAATAAGGTGCTAAAATAGGATCAGTGTGGGAGAACATTCAAGTAGAGAATTTAAAATAACTGTTTTAAGGAAACTTGATGAGCTTCAAGAAAACACAGAGAAATGTTTCACTATTCTAACAGAGAAATAAAGAGTTGAAAACAATATTTTTTAAAAATCTTAATTTTATTAATTTATTTCTATGTGGTGCTGAGGATCAAACCCAGTGCCTCCCATGTGCAAGCCAAGCGCTCTACCACTGAGCCACAACCCCAACCCAAGATGAAAAAAATTTTAAAAATCAAATTATTGAGGTGAAAAATACACTCAACGAAATTAAAAGCAAGATAGAAGGCATCAGTCATAGGACAGATCAAACAGAAGAATTGGTCAGCTCAAAGAGAGGCTATTTGAAAATATATAATTGAAAGAGAAAAAAAGAAAAAAGTGACAAGAAATGAAGAAAGATTATGGGAACTTTGGAACAGTATTGAAAGAGCAAACATTCAGATTATTGGGGCTCAGAAAAGATTGAGAATGCCAAAGGGGTAGAAACTTATTCAATGGAATAATAACAGAATACCTCCTAAACATCCAGATACAGGAAGGTCATAAGGCACCAGTCAGGGGCTGGGGTTGTGGCTCAGAAGAATGATGCTCACTTAGCATGCATGAGGCACTGGGTTCAATCCTCAGCACTAGTCAAATTTAACTCAACCAAATATACCCCAAGACAGCTTATAATCAAAATCTCAATGGTGAAAGAGAAAGAGCAGATTCTCAAGGTTGCAAGAGAAAATAAACATATATAAGGGTGTCCCAATTCACATGACAGCAGAATTCTCAGCAGAATCCTTATGGGCCAGGAGACAGTAGCATGAGATTTTCACAGTACTAAAAGGAAAAACAAAAATAAAACTGTGAACTGAGACTATTGTACCCAGAAAAACTATTCTTTATAAATGAAGGAGGGATAAAGGCTTTCCCAGACAAACAAAAGTTGAGAGAATATATCTCCACCGACCTCTTCTCCAAGAAATGCTAAAGGAAGTTCAAACTAAAAGAAAGAATAAGAAGAAAACAGGAAAGTATAAACTCACTGGTAAGAGAAATTATACAAATTCAGAATGCTCCAATATTGTAAGCATGAGAATAAAACATTCACATCTTTAGTATTAACACTGTAAAACAAAACAACTAAAAATAATAATAGCTACATTAAATGTTGGGAGATAGGCAATATAGAAAGATGTATACCAAAATTGAAAATGATTATCAAAAATTCAAGATGTGGGGAGGAATAAAGTGCAAATAGAAAGTTATTAGTATATTTCTCTTATCCTTTGTTTTTGTTCTTTACAATCATTTTCAGTTGCTATTACTTTAAAATACTTTATTATAATCAAAAGATATTTTTGTAAGTCTCATAGTAGCCACCAAGCAAAAATCTATAATAAGCAAGCCAAAAATTATAAGCAATCAATCAAAGCACACTACTAGAGTAATTCACTTAACCACAAAGTAAGACTTCAAAAGAGAGAAAGAAAGGAACAATAACAAAACTAGAAAATA